AAGAATCTACCAGTCACACACATCTTGAAAGAGATCCCAAAAGGAAAACTCCTAGGAATACTGTAGCCAAATTCCAGAATTCCCAGGTCAAGGAGAAAATATTGCAGGCAGCCAGAAAGAAGCAATTCAAGTATTGTGGAAATACAATCAGGATAAAAACACAATCAGGATAACACGAGATTTAGCAGCTTCTACATTAAGGGACTGGAGGGAATGGAATATGATATTCCGGAGGGCAAAGGATATAGGATTACAACCAAGAATCACCTACCCAGCAAAACTAAGTATAATCCTTCAGGGTAAAAAATGGTCATTCAATGAAACATGGAACTTTCAAGCATTTCTGAGGAAAAGACCAGAGCTGAATATAAAATTCGACTTTCAAATACAAAACTCAAGTGAAACATGGAAGAGGTAAACAGGAAAGAGAAATCATAAGAGACTTATTAAGGTTGAACTGTTTACATTCCTGCATGGAAAGATATTTGTAATTCATGAGTCCTTTGTCAGCATTAGGGTAGTGGGAGCGATAAAAATTATATGCATGTATAGATAGATAGATAGAAAGATACACAGATAGATAGAGGGCACAGGGTGAGTTGAAGACGAAGGGGTGATAATCTGGAAAATAAAATTAAGGGGTGAGAGAGGATTATACTGGGAGAAGGAGAAAGGGAGAAGTAGAATGGGGTAAATTATCTGACATGAAAGAGACAAGAAAAGGCTTTTACAGTGGAGGGGAAATGGGGGAAAATGAGAGGGAATGAGTGAATCTTATTCTCATAGGATTTGGCTTAAGGAGGGAATAACATACACAATGGGGTATGGAAATCTATCTTACCCTACAGGAAAATAAGGGGGGAAGGGGACAAGAGAGCAGGGGGTTGATAGAGAGGAGGGCAGACTGGAGGAGGGGATAATCAGAAGCAAACACTTCTGAGGAGGGACATGGTCAAAAGAGAGAACAGAATAAATGGAGGGTAGGATCGGATGATGGGAAATATACTTAGTTTTTCACAACATTACTACTATGGAAGTGTTTTGCATGACTACACATCTATAACATGTATCAAGATGCTTGCCTTTTCAATGAGGGTGGGTAGGGAGGGAGGAAGGGAGAAAATTTGTAACCCAACGTTTTAAAAACACACGTTAAAAATAAAAATTTAAAAATTTTTTTAAAAAATGATCAATCTGGACTCATATGAAGAGACTGGAGAGGATACCACCAACCCAACCCACTCCTTCATGGAGCTGGGAAGTCCTCAAGTTTTACATACTGCACATTTTAAGACTTTGTGCTGATTTTTTTCTCCTCTCTAAAAATACTGTTACATGGGTTGGCTCTCTGAGAGGAGAAGGAGATACTCGCAATAAATAACTACGATGATGTAACAATCAGAAGACAATAATAAAAACTTATTTTTTTAAAAAAATGCTGAGAAGTTGTTAGAGACACTGTACCAGTGAGTCACAATAAGCAAAATGAGGTAGGGAAATGAATGTGGCCAGGAAAGGCACTGAATGGGGTAGGAATACTAAGTTAGCAAAAAAAACAATATACTCTGGGACCTGAAGCAAGATTCCAGCTGTGGACTGTCAGGACAGAAGCCAGAAACCAAAAGACAATGTGCAGGGAGAGACAGAGACAGCTCAACAAGGGGGAGGTCATGCAGTTGCCTTGAGGAGGACAGTGTGATCTCCACAATACCCCATTAAGGTCTATCAGGACAGCTGAGCACAGAAAATACTCCAAAATGGGACATGAACACAGTGAAAAAATACTATGGCTTAAAAGTAGCCTAGGAGGCAAACCAAGAAAAAGAAAGCAGTGCTACATCTATAAGCAGAGCCCCAGAGGAAAAAAATGATTTGTCCACAAGAACTACAAGTGTCTGGAAGAAATGAAATTAAAATAATAAAATTAGAAATAAATTAAAAGTCAGGAAGAAAAAATTGAAAGGAGAAGAGTTTAGATGGAAAACTTTACCCAAATAGTATACCTTCCTGGAAAAGAGTGCAGCAAACAGAACTCAATTCTATGAAATAACAAGAAGTATTAGAAAAAAGACAAGGAGGAAAAAAAATTAAACATAAGTTATCTGTAATCAAAAACAAATTATCCAGAAAAAGTTCAAATGAAATTCCTAAAAAAGATCAGACAAAAGAATTTGGATACTAAATTTCAAGAAATAATAATTAGCCTAAGTGCCTGAGGGCAGAGAAGGACTTGGTGGAGAAATTTATGAGCCAGCCACTAAACTCACTGAGGAAAGAAGGGAGGTAAAACTGAAAGTCAGAATACAACTACAGAATTCTGACTGGGTGGTAGACTTGTGTTGACTAAACTGCAAAAGGAAGAACAGTTACTGAGTGATGGAGATGAGGGAGAAGAGTAAGGAAATAAGTTACAGTGAAACCAGTGCTAGAAAGGATGGCCAAGCAGCCAGGTTTCAGTGAGAGCCAGAAGACGAAAGGATTGGGAAAGGAAATTTATTAGAAATTATATTGTCCAGTTATATAGCAACAAAACTTATAACAGCCATTTATTAGCTCTATGACCCTGGGGAAGAAAGATGCTTGCCCTCTACACAGCTCAGTTTCCTTATCTCTAAAATGAGGATAATAATAGTACCGAAGTTCTCGAGTTGTTGTGAGAATAAAATTAGATTATATTTGTAAAGCTCTTTCTACACTTTACAACATTATGTAAATGACACCTATTATTAATGCTATTATTATTATAACTTAAATGAAATGAAAATTTACAAAAACATAAAAGACCAAGATTGACAGAATAAGACTTTAACCCAATTTCAGAAAAAGAAATTTTATAAACCAAAATACTCTCCCACTGGGGAAAAATAATCTCAGATCATATGGGTTTACAAGTAAATTCTCTATAAGATTCTATATAAAATTCAGAGAACAATTAGTTCCAATATTACAAAAATCATTTGCAAAAAAATAGAAAGTGGGCCTAACAAATTCCTTCTAAGGGCCAAAAAAATTGCCTTTGCTATGCACAAAGATGGATATACCCTTGATCGTGTTATTCATGTGGAGGGATTCACATTGATATGATTATTGATATATTGATTATATATTGATTATTAATGATATATATCATATCATTGATATGATATGATTGAATGATCAATGTTGAAATTCCTTTATCCAATAACTATCATTCCATCTCTCTGTATGCCTTACTCCTCCCAAAACTATTTTTTCCCTCCTCACCCCCACCTACAATCTCTTATCTCCAAGGTATTTTATCAGGCTATTACAGCTTTGACTATACTCTCCTTCCATTCTAATCTCTGATCTCTGATGAACCATTTAAACCTTCTACTCTAGATTCCCTAGCATCTTTGCTTTATCACTGCTCACACCTTGCCAAATCCCTACCCTGGACTACCCACACCATCTGCTTCCTTCCCTGACGCTCATATGCTGCTTAACAGAGATGGAGAATTTTCTGAAATAGCGGCAATCTTAAGTGGGCACTCACTACAACAAGGCAATCCTTCTCCTCCCTATTAATTCCTTAATCCTACTCCCTATGGGACCTTTACTACCAATATCTTCTTTCCTTAAACCTTCCCTCAAAATTTTCTCCACCACAACCCCCCATCCAAGAGGATCTGACTTCATATTTTACACTCCCAACATCAAAATGTTATTTGTTGGGAGTTACCTCTTCTTATTTGACAATTCCCTCTTCTCATAGCAGCTTGACTTTATCCCCAGCCATCTCCTCCATTTTCAAGTCTCTTTCTTACCAAAGTCACCACCCTTCTATTTTTAACCTTGGTTCCATCCTCAGCCTCTTTCTCAAGCAGATTCCTTCCCTCTTCTTTCACCTTCTTTCACTTAATACATTTTACACTTCTTTCACCCACTTATTTGTTTTCTAGCTACCTATTAACATATTTAAGTTTTCCTCTTTCTTAAGAAAAGACTCCTTTGATCTTATCATCCCTTATAACTATCAAACTGCATCCGTTGTCACACTCTCGGCCAAACTCCTTTAAAAAAGTTTGCTAGTCTAGGTTCACTGCCTCTACTTCCACTCCTCAAATTCTCTTAACCTCAATCAATCTGGTTTCCCCTTGTGAAATAATAAAACAAGAAAAAGAAATTGAGGGTGGAAACAGAGCCAAAGAGCATAAATAGTTACCACTTTCTATAGATGCCATGATTATTTATTTGGAGAATTCTAGAGAGTCAACAAAATTAACTGAAATAATTAACAACTGGTAAAGTAGCTGGATATAAGGTAAACCCACCAAAATCAGCTTTTCTTTAACTAAAAAAAAACAGAGAGAGGAGATAGAAAAAAAATTTCATTCTAAATAACTACAGAATGTATAAAATATCTGGGAATCCACTTAATAAGATATACACAGGAATTATATAAATACAACTACAAAAAATAAATAAAAGAGGACTAAAAAAATGAAGAGATTTTAACTGCTCATGGTAGGGTACTGTCAATATAAAAAATAGCAATACCACCTAAATTTACAGACTTAATCTGTAAATGGTCAACTACCACAGGATTTCTTTATACAACTAAATATACTGATTGAGAGTAACAAAAATTCAGGGATCTCAAGGGAAATTATGGAAAAAATGTAAGGCAGAAGTGGGTCCAGTGGTACTGTATTTCAAATTATAATACAAAGCAGTAATCATGAACATTATCTTGTTCTGTTAAAAAAAAAAAAAAAAGATGGTACTTGAAAGAAAATATCCGATGACCTCTTATTGGAGTATTGTAGAAAGGATTCTTGTTTAGGTACAGGGTGGACTACATATATGGCTTTAAAGTTTCCTTAAAACTGGAGTTTCTATGACTCTATAACAAGATTATGGCTCTTCCCTTACCACTTCACTCACTGTTACATCTCTCCTGACCTTTGATATTTTATGACATAAAATTATACATGTATATTAAATCATGTATTTTATATTACTTTATATTTTCTACTTACCTAGTATCTTCACAGCATAATGAGGACTCTCCAAGACAACTCCTTCCTCAGTATCAAATATAGGATTATCTATTCCAATTTTGGGAGGAATTTGTGCTAGTTTCTTAAGTCTCATGGAAGAATTAAGGTCCAGTTCTTGTTTTTTTCCTTCTTCTTCTCTCCTACGCCTCATATCTTCTTGCTGTTGGCGAATTCGTTCTAGTTGTGTACTTCGACGTACTGGCATCATTCTCGTTCCCAAATCTCCAGGACAATCAACCGCCATCTCTCGATGTCTCTGAGGCTCTTCTGGAGATATCAGATCAACATTTTTTACTTCAATGTCTGATTCATCTGTAACATGCCCATTCATATGGGAAGTTGTCATGGTTATTTATTAAAAATATGCACCACTTTTTTTATATATCAAACCAATTATCTTGATTCTGCCATATAAAATTCATTTTTATTCCAGAAGAAACTTCTTGAAACATAAACTTCATGATCATACTATGAGATTCTCTCCATGAAGGAAATCTAAGAAATGATGAAAAGTATGAATCAGAATTGCAACAGAAAGGCAAATTTTATAATACTGCTGAGTCTCTATCAGTCTTCACAACAATTTATAATTGGTCAAAATCTTTTCATTCAGATTTACAAATTATGATATAAAAAACTAATTTTAATTAAGATAACTTCTACTAGAGTTTAAAATAAGGGGCTCCAATGATAAAGGATATCAGATTAAACAAAATGCAATTTAAATGGAATTTAAAGATAAAGATCGTAACCATAGGCTCAGGAAATGAATCATAAACAATTTGCCCACGAGGACATGGCAGTAGCAAACAGACCAACCTGGTATACCATATTTTCAAGACATTTCTCTACAAAAATACTCTGGATTTTTTATGTGCTAGTTTTTCTTATTAGGTGAAGAACTAAATTGTTACAAATAGGCTTTAATCAATAGCTGCTATTTACAAAAGATAAAACTACATTTGTCTTTTTTCAGGAGACCATACGGGATAATTCAAACAGAGAAAAGTAAAAATGAATGGCTCACAGTAATTAGGATAACAATTTTATTTGACTAGAAATCAAAGACCTTTGGGTGCTACTAGGTCTAGATCTACTGCAGTCCTTTTCCCAAGGATCCTCTGTTGGTACCCATGCCAAGTACTTCAGGGTTTTCCCAAAATAATCCACCAACTAAAATACTCAAGAGTAAATCACCTAACTCTGATCCACCACCAAGTGAAGAATAAATAATGTGATTTTTTTTTTTTGTGGCAGACACTGTTTACCTTCAAAATAGAACCATTACTATTTATTCTCATTACTATATCTGAATTGATAGTACCCATGGGAAGTATAAGATTCATGCTACAGAAACTGAGTATTGTGAGGATTTTTAAATTCATCTTCTTCCTACTTTAGATTTTATGAATGCCTTTTTTCTGACATCACAATTCATTTCTGAATAAAACTTCCCTTGTAACAAAGATTTCTAAAAACAAACAAAAAACCTAATTCATCAAAACTAATCAACACATAGGCATACAACAATATTCCAATATTTCACACACATAGAGAGACTCCCCCTCCACACTCTTTCAAGAAGATGAAGTACATTTTCTCACCTCTTCTCTAGGGCCTGACATGTCATTAATTCATTTTACACTCTTCCCATTTACATTGCAGCAGTCATTGTATGTATATTTTGATGGCTCTGCTTACTTTACCTAGCTTCAATTCATTTAATAAGGCTCCTTATATTTCTTTGAATTCCTCAAATTCATCATTTGTTCCTGAGCTGGGCCAGGCCTACATGTGCACAGAATTCAGACATACAGGAAAAGGCCTTCTGATGATAATGAACTTTGGAAAGGGAATGAAGCCCCCTGGGCTGTGGGCATAGCTGGAAATTCAAGCCAAATATGAACTTATGATACTGCTGCACAGTAGACCCTATAATGGAAGGCAGGTAGAAAATAAAAGTTTCTATATTTCATGTACAATGAGAGGCAAGGCCCTAGCAACTTTGTCCCTGGCATCTCCATTATCATATAAAAGGCACCTCTCCCTCACCCCCACCAGACCTAAAGTTATCATTTGAGCTTGTCAATAGAGATAAAAGGAAATTATGGCTTCAATTGAACCAGAATCACATCAACATGCAAATTTGCCTGTGTTTTGCCAACTACAGCCTTAAAATTCAAATAAATTTACTTTTTAACCTTTGTTTTAACAAAACAATCATTATGCCAGGGATCAGGCATTTAAGCACTCCCTCCCCAATGTCCTCCAAACCCCACAATGGTTTTTTTTAAAATATTTTTAAATAAAGTATTGTATTTAAAGATATAAAACTATTCTTAGTTCACAATATAACAAATATCAGGCTATAATTTGCTGACTCTTAGTAGTTTACTGATCTGTAAATCTATGCCATTTGTTATCTGGGCCTAGGAGAGCTATTCCAATCACTTGGAATATGTGGCATTACCAAAAATAGGAGAAGAATGATTCTTGATTCAAGTGACATAAGGGAGAAGGCAAGGACTTAACCCCTTGCCTTCAGGGATGATCAGATGCCATAGTTTACATCACCTGGAAGCACAAGAGCAATAGCAGTGCTGGGAAAAATCCCATCTGTGAGCTGGTAAGATTCAGTGCCCAACAGATGCAACATATTAGGTGCTAATTAGAGGGATAGGGATGGATATACAACAACTCCACAGATATCCATACAGATGTCACTACACTGGAAAAGGTTAGGGGAAAGGGGGGAGGAGAAGAACAATAATAAAAATGGCATTTATAGAGTACTTTTAAAGGTTTGCAAAGCTCTTTATCATCTCATTCGATCCTCAACAACTTAATAAGGTAGGTGTTATTATTAACCCCATTTCAGAGATGAGGGCACTGAGGCTGACAGAGGTACCTGTCAGAGGTAACCTTGCCAGAACCTTACTTGTCCAGGTTCATGCAGCTAGTAAATGTCTTAAGAAGGATTTGAATTCAGTTCTTCCTGACTTCAAGACCAACACTCTATCCCTTGTGCCATCTAGCTGCCTCAAAAAAAGGTTCAGCAGCCCAAAGGAAAACAAAAAAATCTTAAATGTTTTCTTCTCCAAAACAAAGGAAAAAACTCTACCAAATTCATTTTGAGACAAATATTAATGCTGACTAAAAAAGTTCTAATATAAGTACTTTGTTTTTTGGCTAGGCAATGGGGTTAAATGACTTGCCCAGGGTCACACAGCTAGTGAGTGTTATGTGTCTGAGTCCAAATTTGAACTCAGGTCCTCCTGAATCCAGGGATGGTGCTCTATCCCAATGTAAGTATACTTAATATAGACTACATATTCTAAGTCTTTTAAAAAAAATGCATGCCTTTAGTTATGATGGGGACTGAGCAAAAGGACATGGGCTTAACATAATTTATCCCAACTACTGGAAAAAAACAACTTGGATGTACTGCTGATGTGGTAATATATTCCAGTTTAGGGATGGGGAACCGGTAGCCTTCAGGCCACATGTGGCTCTCTAGGTCCTCAAGTGCAGCCTTTTGACTGAATCCAAACTTCACAGAACAAATCTGAGTTCGGTCAAAGGGCTGCATTTGAGGACCTAAAGAGCCACATGTGGCCTCGAAGCCACAGGTTCCCCACAACTGTTCTAGTTCACTCAATCTCTATAGAAATTGAGCTGTATCCTTCAGTAATAGGAACTATTCATACAGATCTTAATACAGGTGATAGTATAAATTAACATATTTTGATTAATTTTCTTTAAAATAAGTTGATACCAGATTTGTGGAGGAGAGTCCTGGAGCTTTACATGATACTAAGCAAAAAGCAGTACTAAATAACTAGAATTCCAAGTCAGCACAAATTTGTGTAGGAGTTCTAGTAACTGAGTTCCATGCTTAAGTCTGAGGGAGAAAACAAGGGAATGCATGACATACATACACCCAGAAAATTAAAACTGTCTCCCAAATTTGATTCTGCAATACCCCAAGGATATTTTAACATTTTAACACATTTCCAAAGGTCTCAATAATCAAATTTAAACTTATTTTAATTCAGAAAGTAAGGCAAATTCTAAATGTTGTAGGAAATATAAAGCAAATTTAGTCACACTCTCAAATTAGCCTGACTTTCCAGTCATGGAATCTATTTTATATGCTAATGAAAGCAGGTTAATTATCGAAAATTAAATTAAAGCTCTTATTTATCTAGAATTCAGTAAGTGAATATTTATAATAATAAGACACATACTTGAAAGATCCAGAAATACTTCCTCAAACACCTATGAAATGTTATATTCAATAGTTTTAAGAGTATGTCTATTTGGGGCAGTTAGGTGGCTCAGTGAATAGAGCACTGGCCCTGAAGTCAGGAGGACTGGAGTTCAAATCCAGCCTCAGACCAAACACTTGACACTTACTAGCTGTGTGACCCTGGGCAAGTCACTTAACCCCAATTTCCTAAAAATAAAAAATTTTTTTTAAAAAAGTCTATTTTATTACACTTCTTTTAAAATTACCAAACCAAGTATGGTATATAGGAAATACTTGACTTAAAACCAACCCATATATTCAAAATACATCTGGGGCATTTTAATCCAAACTTCCTAATTCTCTTTTGTTCTCCAATTCATTCTACCCAAGGAGTGAAAATTACCTTATTATATATAAATGTAAACTGACACTATCTATTCAGATTAAAGAGTTACCCCATCCTCTTCTCAAGAGAAGAGCCCCTTGACTGTTGGCTCCACATACCCCACCCATCTCACCTTCCTTATTCAACTACTCCCAATGCTACTGGACATGAGGGATAAGAATATTCCTGCTGGCAAGTCGAACCTTCGCATAAAAAGGGTTAAACAGGCTTTTGTGGACTGACCTTGGATGCCCACCTGCCATTTACAACATTGTTTCTATGGAAAAAAAACTGTGTTGTTACATGGAAACAAATATAAGTTCACTATAAGGAAGAGACTCAATTAGAATTCTGACAATGGAACAGGCTGTCATGAAAGAACCTAGTGAGGTCCCTGTCAACTGGAATGTTCTGATTTAGATGGATTAGTTCAATCATCTGCAAGTGATTTTGTAATGGAGATTCCTGGGAAGAAGTTAGACTAAATGATTTTTAAGGTATATATAAGCCTCTGACTTTAAAATCAAAAGTTCTAGATGTTTGGGAAAATTCTAGATTTGGAGTTAAGAGAACTGGGTTTAAATCCTGGATTTGCCACTTCACTACCTGTGGGAGCTTGGGACAAGGCATTTAAAATTTCTGGGTCTCAAGTGCTTTATCTGTAGAAAAATGGGGTTGAACTAGATGACCTTCTATAGCTCTAAATCACTAAGTCACTTCTAGCTCCAAACCTATGATGCTACTGAATTATTAAATTATTAAAATGTAAATATATTAAACAATTATGACATGAGATATAAATCAGCTTTAAGTTCCACAGAAAGCATACCCAAAATTTGAAATATTGAGAGAATAAAAAAT